ACATTATGCAAAACCCTGGGCTGGATAAATCTCAAGCTGGAATCAAAATTGCTGGGAGAAATCTTGATTTCTGCATATCATTTCAGATATGCAGATGACACCACCCTTATGGCAGAAAGCAAAGATGAACTAAAGAGCCTCTTGATGAAAGTGAAAGAGAAGAGTGAAAAAGCTTGCTTAATACTCAACATTCAAAAACGAAGATCATGGCATCTGGTCCATCACTTTATGGCAAAAAGATGGGAGAAAATGGAAACAGTGACTGACTTTTATTTTCTTGGGCTCCAAAATCACTGTGGATGGTGACTGCAGCCATGATATTAAAAGATGCTTGCTTCTTGGAAGAAAAGCTATGACAAACCTAGACATCATATTAAAAAGCAGAGACATCACTTGCCAAAAAAGGTCCATCTAGTCAAGGATATGGTTTTTTCAGTAGTCATGTATGGATGTGAGAGTTGGACCATAAGGAAAGCTAAGCACCAAAGAATTGATGCTTTTGAATTGTGGTACTGGAGAAGACTCTTGAAAGTCCCTTGGACAGCAAGGAGATCAAACCAGTCAATCCTAAAGGAAATCAACCCTGAATATTCACTGGAAGGACTAATACTGAAGCTTAAGCTCCAATACCTTGGCCACCTGATGTAAAGAGCCAGCTCATTGGAAAAGACTCTGATGCTGAGAAAGACTGATGGCAGAAGGAGAAGGGCGACAGAAGATGAGATGGTTGGATGGCACCACCAACTCAATGGACATAAGTTTGAGCAAGCTTTGGGAGATGGTGAGGGACTGGGAAACCTGGCATGCTGGAGTCCATAGGGTCGCAAAGTCAGACGCAACTGAACAACACAGACAAATTCTGAGAAGTAACTAAACCAGAAACACATACAGCTATATGGGAAACCATATAGCTTCAGGGGCAGGAGAAAGGGGAGATGAAGCAAAGGAAAACATGTTTCTGCCAGAAAAACTCAATACTACAAAGCTATGAAGTATAATTTACAATACTTGAAACTGTCAAACAAATCAATAAAAAAAAAAATCTAAACACTTCAGTAAAAATGGGCAATGGGCAAAGGAAGTGAGGAAGCAATTAACACAAGAAGAAAAACAACTAGGCAATAAAGACATGAAAAATAGGAAGAGTGCTTGGCCAACAGCACTGCTGGGAAGGATGGGAAAAGGTGCTAATGGATGTGTTTGAGGGGAGTGAAGCAATCATCTGTATTCACAGCTCAAAACACACATTTGACTCCAAAATTTCACTTCCTGAAACTCACCCTAAAGAAATAAGAAAGGAGGGCCTTCCCTGGTGGTCTAGTGGCTAAGACGTCAAGCTTCCAAATCAGGTGGCCCGGGTTCAATCCCTGGTCAGGAAACTGTCACAATTAAGAGTTTGCATGCTACTACTAAAGAGTCAATGTGCTGCAACTAAGACCCAGTGCAGTCAAAGAAACAAATAATTTTTTTAAAGTAACTTTTTTAAAAAAAAAGGGAGAGCTCAAGAATATTCATTACAGCATTATTTTTAGCAGGAAAAAAGAAGGGAGTGGAGTGGAGGAGGGAGGAAATGAAAGAAACTTAAATGTTGAACAAATGTTTGTTACCTGGATAGAGACTGAAAGAAGCATTTGTTATACTTCTGTGAATGGAATTCACCCTTTAAGAATAATGTATTATTTAAAAATCACTGCCAACACCTTCTGAATGTGCAAATAACCCTCTTATTTAAAACTCTTTCTGAAATTGTCTTTTATTTAAATAATAGCTAGCTGGTCTAGCATTAGGTATATATATTATGGTACAACTGAATATTAATATGTGTTCAATGACCTGGATTTACATAAAGTACACCCACAGTTAGGGAATGAGCAGGCTATAATACAACATGAATAGTGGCTATAATGTACAGCACAGGGAAATATAGTCATTATTTTGTAATAAGTATAAATGGAGTATCAGCTATAAAAATACTGAATCACTATTACACCTGAAACTAATATATTGTAAATTAACTATCCTTCAATATTTTAAAGATCTTATGTATAGAATAGAATGCTACATTTCTATAAATATACATTTTTATATTCATTTTTATATATTTGCCAAGAAAGATCTAAAGAATATACACAAAACATTTAACAGTGGGTTATGACTGGCTTGTAGGACTGTAATTATCATTTTCCTCTTTTCATAGATCTGCATTTTCTAAGTTACTGAAGTTATTATACATCCTTTTCATTGGAAGAAAAAATTACATAAATGTTAATTTTTGGAAAAGGAAAACCAGAAGAGTGACCAACATGGGTCCCGATGCTAATGTAGCAAAGAAAAAGATGTTTTTCCCCTTCCCTGTGGTTTAGGCAACAGAATGCAACAGGACACTGCTAGTTCCCCCAGACGGCACTCAGTGGAGGCAGAACACCCCTGTGACCACCACGTGGCATTCACTTCTTCATTCAGTCATTCATTTGCTCATGACCTCCCATGGGCCAGACGCAGTGCTTGGAAAGGCTACTTGAAAAACATCTGTTCTTCTGCAAAATCTGACACAATGTATTTGATGAGTCAGGGTGGTTTATGCATTTTTTATAACTAAATTTTTCTCCTCCTACTGCCCTTAGATTCTGCATATCCTACGTGGGCTTTTTCATAGTGCATCACTGTCTCCTTCCCCACACTCAACCATAATTGCTAAATTTAGAATAAGAGCCACAGAGTTTGGCCCAGAGCGCCTTTAAATTCAAGAGTGTTTAAGAGCTTCACGAAATCCTATTCAAGGGTGCAACTCAAAATCCAGGAATACGTGCAGGTCACTCTGAGTTCAGTAAGCCCGAGGAGAGGATGTGGCTGTTCCGTGTCATTAACGACCATCTCTGAGAGAGTGGTTGGTCCCTCCAAGCTCCATCAGAAGACCGGAAACCCTAGTGATCAGACTCTCCCTCCCTCTGTAGCCAAATATCTTGGCAGCATTACAAGGGCCCCATCTTGTGGTTTATTCCTTCTGCAAGGACTCACCCTCCTAAAGAAAAGTCCATTACAGAAAATCAAGGAAGCGGTGAACCAATGGACACGGAACACATAATAAATCCTGCTTGTGAATTATTGAGTAACTTGTCCATAACAGCTTTTAATATTTTAGGCCAGCCAGTGATTTCCAAAAAGTAACACAAGACCCTTTAGAAAGGTTGGAAGTTGAGAGAACTGCAGCTCGTCCTTTTCTTGTCTAGTCAGATTAACACAGTTTCAGTGAAGAAATACCTGTTTTATATAAAAGAAGAAGGAAATTCCCCTCCCCCCCTCCGTCTCTAGCACCATATCAAGGCATACGTGTTAGGTCTGGTAAGACCATGCAGCTACATGTCATACAATTATGGGAACAAATACTGCTAGGGTAAACTTAACTAGATCCAACTATTATTTCATTGGTACTTTCTATGTACCGGCCACCACAAGCTCTATAAAAGTAAAATGGCCTCTGTCCTCCACCAGCTCCCTGTCAGCTGGGAGACACAGGTATTTACACAACTAATTTTATCTCAAGATGAACCTGATACCTCTAATAAGAAAATCAAACACCCCGTTACAGGAGCTACGGGCACAGACTCTGCAGGCAGGCTGCCTGGGGGGAGTTCTGGTTCTACTTCTCATCGGCACAGCGAGCTTGGCGAATTACTTTGCCCTCTCTGCCTCAGTTTCCTCATCTGCAGCATGGACATAATCCCGGTGCCGATCTCACAGGGGTACTGTGAAGACTAAATGTGACGAGTGAAGGACTGTTCATGTTGGTGTAATTGTCACCAGCATATGAGGTAAGGAGGGACTGATTATGATAAGAACCTGGGGAAGCAGTCCAGAGAAATGGAACCTGTGGCCAAGTTCTGAATAACGATGAGGATTTTGGCAAGCCGTGATGGGAAAGAAGGGGCAATTCGCATCCAAGGGTTAGCCTGAATGAAGTCCTAGGGGTGAGGAGAAGAGGGTCGAGGACCACTGAGCGATGTGGCAAACATACCAGGCCGGTGAGCTGTAGGTCTGGGGAGTGCAGAGGAAGCAGAGAGGCGAGCTGGCTGGGAGCTGGCGGCAGCGGGTGGTGGCTGCCAGGCTCCGATTCCGTGGGGAAAGCGAGCCCGAGACAGGGTACCACAGTAGGCGGGAACATGGATTCTGACTTTGAATCTGGGCTCTACCTCTGAAGAACGATGTGATCTTGGGCAAGGTTACCTAATCTTTCTATGCCTCGGTTTTCTTACCTGTAAAATGGGTGTGATGAGGAGTAAATGAGTGTCTAGGTGAAGTGCTTAGAGTTGCGCTCAGCACAGGGTGACATATGTAAGTGTTTGCTGATGGAAGGCGTCACATGCACCTATAGCAGTTCTTCCTGACCTGCCAGCCCTGCAGAAAATGATCAGGAGGAGGTCTGAGCAACGATGGGCTCAAGGGTATAAGAGCGCTTTTCAACTCTTCAAAAATGTTACCACAAAAATAACGGCTCTCTTTGGGACAAAAATGTTCACGGCCCTCAATGGAATTTCACCTCAAAGCACAGACAAAGTCAGAGCTGGCGCTAAAGTGAGGCACTCACACCAGGCAACATGGCTGAGTCTGCCAAGACCCCCCAGGTCGCCCTGGCCCATGAGAAGTGGCCAAGTGCACCATTTATGAGAAGCTGGGATCTGTGCTGAGGTTTGAATGACGTCAGACTTCCCTGGTAACTCAGATGGTAAAGCGTGTGCCTACAATGCGGGAGACCCAGGTTCAATCCCTGGGTCAGGAAGATCCCCTGGAGAAGGAAATGGCAACCCACTCCAGTACTCTTGCCTGGAAAATCCCATAGATGGAGGAGCCTGGTGGGCTACAGTCCACGGGGTCGCAGAGAGTCGGACACGACTGGGTGACTTCACTTTCACTTTAAAGGTGTCAACATTCAGGAGTGGGAGGGAAGGGCGTGAAGAGAATGTACCATGACCCCTCGAGCAAGCCCTGAGGCAAGAACTTACTTCCAGATCCATCCTTGACTCTAGGTCCTTCGGGTTTGGCCTCAGAAACGATGTTCGCATTGGCGTTATTCTCCATCTCGATCACAAAGTCACTGCCCTCCTCAAACTCAGGGTGGCTAAAGATCCAATCCAGTGCTCTTTCCAGATTACTATTCTGATGAAACAAAACATTTTTACAATGTATGCTGTCCTGGGGCCTCATTATATCCTGACCGTTTGAACCAGGATGTCAAGTAGACAGGGCAGAACGCCTGAATTCATTAGTCCTAAGTGGCTCTGAGTAAGAGGCTCTGACCCTGTCTATGAAATGCACTTTCCATGGACATTCTGCAAGTCTCTCAACTGAAGTCTGTAATTGGATTCGCTGGAAAACAGTTCAGAGCAGCAGGTCAGCATTCCAAAGCCATATCAGTCCTAGTTCAGCATTTCTGTGGGCTGATGCTGATAATGATGAGAGGCTGAAAGCCAAAGAGAATGGCATCTGTCTTAGTACGGCTCTTTCCAAAGCCACACTAACTGCAATGCTACCTTCTCCACCAACTGTATTTTGTGCAGATAACCATGCAGGATGGAGGGAAGCTAACATGGGTACCAGGTCAGAGCCTTTTCTCCTAAATGTTGGCAGAGTGGTTGAACCGCAGCAGAGACAAGACTGATGCCTTAATTAATGAAGACAACACTGGTTAGCTAAGTTACATTGTTTTAAACTGAACGCTACGTAATTCAAATCAATGCACCATAAAAGCATTTCCGTCAATCCCCTTTGTGACATTACTTGATGAGTTAAACAATTTGTTTAGATGTAGGCAAAATGTCCAATTAAACAGTCAAGCAAGTAAAATAATTGGGGCATAAACAAGTACACTGAGTATAATAAACTCCAGTTGAAACACTTCAAGCATTTTAAAGGGAAACAGATTGTTCCAGCCAAACTGTCCAGAGCCAGCCAAGAGCCCCTGTGACCTCAGCAAGGGGCCCCATCAGAACCCAGTTAGGATGGCAAGAAGGACTCGGGAGCAGATATCCACTCAAAATGGATTGGTTCTGGTGGTTTAGTCACTTAGTTATGTCCAGCGCTTGCAATCTTGATCCCCTAGACTCCCACCAGGCTCCTCTGTCCATGGATTTTCCCAGGCAAGAGTACTGGAGTGGGTTGCCATTTCCTCCTCCAGGGGAACTTCCCAACCCAGAGATCGAACCCACGTCTCCTGAATTGGCAGGCTTTACCACTGAGCCACCAAGGAAGCCCTCAAAAATGGATTATGGTGTGGAAAAAAAAAAGTACTTTCCCTCAATATTAAACAGACGTCTGCTCTGCAACAGGAAGGCTTCTGTCTGCCCTCCAATTTCCTGGTCCCGTCTTTCCTGATAATATCAGGACTTTACGAATACCTGATAAAACTTCTCTCTCCACAGAGAGAAACAGAAGCAGAGAATTCCAAAGAGACTTCTCCATGAGGAGTTTTGAGAGAGAACGCTCCAAGATCTTAGTATCAGAAAAGCACAATTTCTCCTGAAGAGCTGCCTTATTGAACACAGGATCTCAAGCATCCCTCCTTCCTCTAAGGCCACAAGCAAGATCCAAGTAAAGTCTCTGCCTCATGCTAATAAACATTAAGAGGACACAGAGTGTCTTTCAGCTGGATTATCTTACCTCCATTGTATTATCTCCCTCGCTTTTTAAAAATATCTTTACTCTTAAAAATCTCTGTATGTTTCCCTCAATCATTTATTTTAGCTTTATATATACTACATGCAAATAAACCTTTCTGGGGCATAGTGGATGTGAGACAGACATGATTCAAAATGATCAGAGGACACTGGAAAGTTTCAGTTGCCACTGACAGAAGAGGCAGGGGTTCACACGGTCTCTCGTGCTTACCGTTGCTCGCAGGGCCTGAATAGCCTGATTTCGATGGAATCCCATGGAGGTAATGATAGCTACAGTTTCTTCCGGAGGTTGGTTATCCAATCCAGTAGCACCAAAAACAGAGGCCCCAGCAGAAGCTGCTCCTCCATAACCAGGCATGGTCAGTGGTTCAGCAAAATCTGGAGAAAAGAATCACACTCAGGCCCTTTCCTTTTTTGGGTCTTGAAATAAACAACCCTTTAGAGCTAACAAGAAAAAATACCTAAAGTTACAATAATCAAGACAGTCTAAAATTGGCATAAGAACAAACATATAGATCAATAGCCTAATAGAATAGAATTCAGAGTTCAGATATAACCCTACATATCAACGGTCAACTGATTTTCAACAAGGGTACTGAGACCATTCAGTGGGGAAAGGACAGTCTTTTCAACAAATGGTGCTGGGACAACTACATAGCCACATGCAAAAGAATAAATTTGGATCCCTACCTCACATCATATGCAAAAATTAACTCCAGATGGATCACTGGCCTAAATGTAAAAGCTAAAACTACAAAACTCTTAAAAGAAAGCATATAAGAAAATCTTTGTGACCTTGGGTTAGGCAATGGTTTCTAGATACAACACCGAGAGCACAAAGCGACAAAAGAGAAAAATAGACTAAAGGACACTATCGAGAAAGTGAAAAGATAAGCCATACAACAGAAGAGCGTATTTGTAAACCATATATCCCACAAGATAACTATTCAGAACTCTTCGAACTCAAAAATACAAAGACAACTAACCTCAGTAAACAGGCAAAGCATGTAAATAGATATTTCTCCAGAGATACATAATTGGTCAATATGCATATGAAAAGGTATTCATCATTAGCCATTAGGGACATGAAAATCAAAACCACAATGAGATTTAACAAGGGTTGGTGAGGATGTAGAAAAACTGGAGCCCTCATACATCGCTGGGGGGATGTCACACAGTCCCTGTTAAAAAACAATTTGGTAGCTTCTAAGAGAGTTAAACATGGAGTGACTGTATGACAGAGGAATTCCACTCACGAGAAATGAAAACATGTCCATATAAAAATTTGTACATGGGGACTTCCCTGATCTTCTGGTGGCTGAGAAGCTGCCTGTCAATGCAGAGGACACAGGTTCAATCCCTGGTAGGGGGCGATCCCACATGCTTCACAGCAACTAAGCCCTTGGACCACAACTGCTGAGTCCACGTGCTGCAACTACTGAAGCTCCTGCACTTGAGCCCGTGAGCCCCAGTGAAGCCTCAAAGAGAAGGCACCGCGATGAGAGCCCGTGAGCCCCAATGAAGGGTAGCCCTCACTCACTGCAACTAAAGAAAGCCACACACAGCAGCTAAGACCCAGTGAAGCCAAAAACAAAATAGATCTTTAAAATATATTTCAAAAAAAAATTTGTACACAAAAGGTTTATAGCGGCATTATTCATAATAGCCAAAAAGTGGAAACCCAAATATCCATCAATTGATGAAAGGATAAATAAAACATAGTATGCCCATACAACAGACTATTATTCAACCAAAAAAGAAATAAAGTACCAATACATGCCACAACATAAATGAACCTTGAAAGCATGATGCTAAGTGATAGAAACCAAAAACAAAAGATCTCACATTGCATGATTCCATTCGTATGAAACATCCAGAACAGACAAATCCACAGAGCCAGAAAGAAAAGTAGACTAGTGATTGCCAGGGGCTGGGAAGAACAGGGAAAATGGAAAGTGACTTCTATTATCTACAGAATTTCTTTTTGGATGGTTGCAAAACTCTGTGAATTTACTAAAAGCCACTGTAATATACACTTTTTATCTGGGGAAAGTATTTTTCCTCTTTATTTTTTAAATTCTAAAAGTATGATAACACATTTACAGGAGACTTGGAAAATACAGAACAAAGTTACATATAGTTCCACTATATATTACAATTATTTTTTCCAGTAGATAAATTAAGATTTTTAGTTGGAGTTTCAATATCAAACTCAATAATTAGTAGAATGAATAGACAGAAAAGTAGAAGGATATAATAGACCTGAAAAGCACTATGAACCAATTCAACATAATTAACATTTATACAACTGAACTGTATACTTTAAATGAGGGAATTATATGGTATGCAAATTATACCTTAATAAAGTAGATAAAAGTTAATGCTAACTAAACAGCCTCTATTTCTTCATGTACATTCTTCTATCTCAAGTTCTCATCATTTCTTAGCCAGAAGTATATTGCACATCTTTCCAATGTTTTTTTTTTTTGCTACTGGATTATACATTTTAAAAGGGTGAATTCTCTCTCAACAAAGCTATTATTTAAAAGAGGAAAGCAAAGACTGTGACTTTGCTACACAGGCAAAATAGCCATCCTCTCCCATCCACTCCGTGCAGCAGATTATGAGCTGATAAATCATTTTCTGGGACACACCCTGAGGACACAGAAGGACCAAGGCTTAACATCCTTGAGGACCAATCATGTCAGACTCCAAAGTCATCCCATTTTCTGACCACCTACCTGGCTCTTCCATGTGAACAACGATCCAGTTGAAGGCCACCTCGGCTCCCATATTTCCAGTAAAATACACAGCCTTCCGACACGCTTCTAGAGGGAAGCCCATCTCAGCCAGCTGCATCACCGATGACTCATCAATATCTGATGCTACAGAGCACACAGGATAGTCTGGTGTAAAAAGTCAACCCTATTTCTTCTTGTTTTAGCTTCTCTTCACCCCTTATCCACATGCTACCCAAAGAAGGTGCTATTTTGTTTAATGTTTAGATGGTGGTTTAACTGTGTTTTGTTTTAAGCCATCCAAATGTTAAGCTATTTGAGCTGAGTTTTTATCTTTGACCTAAATAGGAACCATGGTAATTACCTGAACAATCCAAGCACTGAAAAACAACCCCCTAATTTCCAATGGGGAGATCTAGTGTATTCCCAGAACCATTTCAGTCTCTTACATCATTCTCAAGGCCACTACAGCAGCCTCTCTTAGGACTGAAATTGGAAGAGAAAGCATTCTCTACAGGCCAAAAAGCTTATACCTTAAGCCTCACAGGAAGTTATACCAGGTCTTTAGATATATCAGCAATCAAAGGATGCAATCACTCTGAGAAATTAAGATAGAAGGAAAGTTTTTTAACTGTATACATTTAAGATATTAAAAGAGATTGCTTTACAAACCCAACTTTGGCTTAGACACAGGTTTTCTTTTCTTTTCACAATAACATATAGATATGGGTAGACAGGGCTTCCCCGGAGGCATAGATGGTAAAGAATCTGCCTGCGATGCAGGAGACCCATGTTCAGTCCCTGGGTCAAGAAGATGCCTTAGAGAAGGAAACGGTAACCCGCTCCAGTATTCCTACCTGGGAAATCCCATGGACAGAGGAGCCTGGTGGCCTATAGTCCATGGGGTCGCAAGAGTCGGACACAACTTAATGACTAAACCACGGGTAGAGAGGTGTGGAAACACACAGCTATACATACACATGACTATAGGTTTGTATGTATATTCATTCATACACATACATGTACATGGGTGTGTATGTATGTTCATGTGTGTGTACCCATACCACCTACACGAGGCTCTCAAATTACACCACAGGTTGGGAGGGAACTGGAGCACAAAATATCTGCCTTTTGTTTCCCACGCCCTGAGGTCTGTAATCTGCTGAAAACTCTGCCAGAGGCAGCAATCAGTAGTAGAAGAACTGAGGAACAGATATTTCTGTTCTACAAAATATATACTGAAAATGTATTTACCAAAGTTCTATCTCACAATGAGGATACACAGAACATCCTATCAGATAAAATTTTAAGAAAGCAATGATATAGGACAACAGTGATTCCTCAATTGTGTTCTAGAGAATCCTAGTGTTCTAAGAGAGATGAACCACAAAATTAATGAACCACAAAACAAAGGGCTCCCATTGTCAAATAAGTTTTTTAAACCTACATTCTCTGTTCTCCTGAGAAATTCAGTGTGCATTACGGTAGTGAAAATTCTAAAGTCCTGTAATAAAGACTCCTGCAGTAGGTTGGGCTTGACATGTACATACTACAGTATACACAATAGATAACCGACAAGGACCTACTGTATAGGAAAGGGAACTACACCAATATTTTATAGTAACCTAGAAAAATCTGAAAAAAAAATAGACATATGTATAACTGAATCACTGTGCTATATACATGAAACTAATATTACATTGTAAATCAATTATACTTCAAATAAAATTTTTTTAATATTTTAAAATTTTAGTAATTAAAAAAAGGATTCCTCTGGGCAGAAACTATGAAACTCTTTCAGAGAATACTTTTCAACACCTCGTGAAAGACTCTGCTCTCTAGAATGCAGTTAAGTAATGCAACTTAATAAGTGTATGTATGCACGTAACAGCATATTAAATTGAAAATGTCTAATTCCATTTTGGGGGAAATAGAGTGAACCAGGCATAGGTAAAGAACAGTAGAAGGACAGATGCCAAATGTTAATACTGGTTATAGATGGGTGATGAAACCAGAGATGACTCTTATCACTAATAGGTAATTTCTACATATCTTTTCATTTATAGTAAGAATATAATCAAAGTTACTCCTTTTAAATGTCTGAGAAAGGTTGGATATAAATATAACTCTGACACAGTTCCAGCCACCATTCACCTCCCCTGGGGCAAGATCCTGGAGACTGGCTCTCTGCAGGGTTGGGACAGCCAGCAAACTCCTCACACTCCAGACAAGGTCAAGTGACAGGAAAGCATGCCTGACGCTTAGCCCTGGCACTGGTCCTAGCTCTTAGGTCTCTGAACTTCCCTGGGTATCAGTTTTATCCTCTGTATAAAGGTCACCTGCTCTGCCCATCTTACTGTGACAATCGAACAAGAAGCTGGCCTTTGTATTATTATAATAGTACATTTATACACAGTTAAAAGAATTTATGGAGTCATAAACTCAACAATGACTCATGGTAACCATTCAAAAATACTGTTATCATTACAACGAAATTATTTGCAGAGGCAATGGTTTGCCCTCGCTGCCCCTAACAGCCTCTGCCAGCAACCATCAAATCAAAATTGACCCAAGAAGGCAAGCATGGAGGTCTAAGTCAAATGATCAATCACATGAAGTGTTTTTTGGCAAAGTAAAACACTTGAACTTCTAAATTAACAATAGTGTCTCCGGTAAGGCTTTGTAGACAAAAAGATTCAGAGTATTTTGTGTTATTACATATTCCTTCTTCCTCCTAATTAGTATCTAAATATTGACTCTAAAATATTTTGCTTTTTTTCATGTTCTTCAGAAAATCAAAAGTATCAACTCACCCAGGATTAAGGAACTAAATGGCTACAAAATGAAACAATCCAATGACACTGCCACCCTTAAGAGTATTAATACTACCATGTCCTGCCAACCGTGTACCTTCATTACGTGTCCTGAAGGAGGGGACAAAGTGACAAGTCACTGTGCTATCACTGCGGCAAGAGACCTACTCATGTGGCCAGGGAGGAAATGGCATCAGTGTCCCCCATTCACATATGAGGAAACTGAGGCTCAGAGAAGTTAATGATTCTAGGTCACACAGCCACAAGTGGCAAAGCCAAGATTCCAACTCAGGGCTGGCTGGCTCTCACGCTGAAGTTCTCTCTCCTGAAACACAGGGCCATCTATCCACCACATTACTGGTTTAGATTTGCTGTGACCTCAACTTGCAGACCAAGGTTTATTCCCACCCAGGGGAAAAGCTGCCCATACACACATACAGAACAACGCCCTTTACTGAATCCCCACAGCTAAATGCGTTAGACCAGTAACAATAGTAGGACACTGAGAAAAAACATAAAAGGTACATACGGTCTATCAATTGGGTCATCAGGCGATCTGGAAATCAAAGGAGAGGGCAGGAAGTGAGACCCAACCATGGCAAAGAGTTCTAGAGAAAGAAAGAGAGTTAACCCGGAGCACTCCCTCACCCCCACCCATTAAGACCCCACACTGTGTCAGCCCCGTGGCCCTCCACGCAGGCCAGCCAAGCCTGACGTAAAGTCATTCCAGGAAGGAGGGAGAATATCCAGTTTCAGGCATTTAGAGCAGATAAAACACGATGCTCTGCTGATCATCTTAAGGAACTAAATAATTTCCTTCCCTGTACTTCCAAGAACTCCATATAATTACAATCCAGAGACTCTGTTATGAACGTCAGAAAAAGCAGGAGCAATGCTAATAAACCACCTTGCAGTTCTCTGACACTCTGACACTCTCTGACACTGATCTTTCTGGAATTCCTTTAATGAACCACCTATACCACATAGCCTGGACCACCCCCCCTACAGACCCCTTCCCTGCTCTCCACCCTCTGCAATTTAGCCTTGGACTTAGCGTTAGAGAATAATGTAACACAGGTGCCAATCTTGAATCCTCTCTTGCTCCTCCCAGATTCACTTCATACCCCAACAGGGTCACCAATAATGGTCACTGCTCAGCTGACAGACATCCTGTGGGGCAGGCGCCCCAAGCACTCTGGCACTATTAGCTAATGTACCTAATTAACTCATTAGAAAGGTGAACAGCAAACACGTGGGCTAGCAAAGCCAGAATGAAAGTGATTTCACCAGAATAACTGAACTAATAATGAAGCCAAGATCTCTCCAAGCTGTGCTTGGACTCACAAAGGCAATGGTTTTTCACATGTACTTTTCTCTTTAAAAGTATTCTTCACGAGGACCACTTTAAGGTTCACAGAGAGTAAGAGAAGCTCAAAGTGTTCTCTTGCTATGAAGCAGTAATGAAGCTGGGGAGGCGAGAAGTGGGCAAGACTTTTAAAACCAACACACACTGTTCAATTTCCCTTTTTGGTTCTCCAAAGATACTCCAAGAAGGACACGGCTCCCCTAGACTAAGAGCCCACTGAAAACACACTCCTCTTCCCCACAGGCTTATCAGAGAAGAGAGGAGGGAGGCAAAGCCAGAGGCAAGGTAACCCAAAGACTTCCTGGAGACCTGCTGCCCTCTGCTGCCTGTGATTTCCATAGATCTGTTTGGTTCACTCATGTTGGGGTTGTCCTCTTCCTGTGACTATTAATATTTTAAGCTCACGGTTTGCAGCCAGGCTTTGATTCTGTCTGTATGTCTATGGTGGCTTACAATATAGGAAAGCACCACGGGACAACAGAGTGGGGGAGAAACAGGGACTATTCCAGCAGAAGAGCAGGGAGGCTCTGGGATGGTCCTCCTGGCAGAAGATGGTACCTTTGGAGTCATCAGGAATCACTATTGGGGGGCTGATGTCTGGAAGTTCCTCCTCTCCTGGTTGCAACCCCCTGGCTCGGAGATGGTTGATATCAAGTAGGTCTGGCATATCAATAGAAACATCTGCAAAATGAGAGAGATTATACTCACTGGATTCTCTGAATAACCACAATCACCTCCTAATCTAGCACCACTAACTATGCACATGTGTCTAGGCAGAGCCAAGGGATGTGTTATAGTTCCTGGGAGTAAGTCACGGGACCAGGAAACTAAGACTGATTAGAGTTTAATGTAGGACCAGGGGAAACACAGATGCAGGACTTCACACTGAACAACAGGAAATGAGGAAAGCCAGAGGTCGAAAACTGGGAGCCATACAACATCTGTAGACCCTTTCTGTTGGATGTTTTTAAAATGTTGGCAACCAATTCCAATTTTTAAATCAGAAATTTCAATTCAAAACTCCAGACTTCCAACGCATTTTGGAAAAAAAAAACCAAAAAGCTGTAGCAGAGTCTCACGTGATAACAACTGCCTGGGGCTGATTCTCAGCTTTCACTCCAAGGTAATATGTGCCCTCCATGTCTGTCTGCCACAGACCTCGCCACTCCCTCCTGCCCCCATGATCCTGAGCATCACATGTGCACTGTTCTGATTCTCATGATAGGGAAATGTTTTCCTAATCCATGTCTTCATCCAAAATGGGAATACTCAAGAAAGAACAAGACAGCTATAGCTATGTGTTTCTTATACCTAGCCTACTTCTGTCACTTACATTATCACTCTGTCCTCATTAGGCATTTGAGTTTGCAACCCATAGTTTATGCCTTTTCTCAGATCACCATGGGTACTGTGATTATTCTACCGAAGGTAATAAAAATTGAAGCTTAAAAGAAATTAATTGAACTTCAAGTGTATTCATCTTGAGGCACACTTTTTTTTAACTTCTCAGCTCAGCTGTCATTATGTTGACTTATTCAAATACAAAATGTATGTATGAGTCTAAAAGCCTGTTGAGAATTCGTACTGTACACAGTCAGATATGGTAATAATGGAAAATGGGTTCAAATGTTGGTGCAGGATATGTCTTTTGGGCTAGCAAACAGAATCTGAAAAAACCATCCCCAAAACCAGCAACAATGTTAGGTATGTAAGTCCTACTTTAAAACCACCACCCAAAGAAAAGGCTTAGTTTAAAAAAAATTTTTAATCTCAGCAAACAGCAAAATCAAACACAATGTCTGACCGACAAAATCAAAACAACCATTCCTCAACAGAAAATTTCAGGTTCATTAAAGAAAGCTTTGGGGCTGCTTTAAATTCAGCAAGACTATGAAATCTGATCTGAATTTGGTATCCTTTACCAAAATTCCAAGGACAAAGAAAATAAAACTGTTTTCAAAGCAGTTCAAAGCCTTTAGAAGAAGTCAGTTTTCTCTCTGGGGTGCATGTTGGGTCCAAGGAGGAAAGGCTGAGTGATGAGCAACCTGCCCTTGGCCCTCCTCCCTGCCCAAAAAAGTATTCCACTAGGAAAAGAGGAATGAGATGCGGGCTCACGGGCTGCATAATGCCACATGAAGATCAGTGCTATGCTAACTGCTAGTGCCAGAGGTTTCTGGGAAATCACTCATGCAGATTTTACATTCTTTTTACTTATACCCTTCAGATGAGCAGATGAGTTCTTAATTAACCAACCTAGGACTGACTGTTGTTTTTTTAAGTGAGCAAAAACGTAGAAACTAAAAGACTGGCAAGCAGTTTGAGGTCCTTGCTTGAGAAATCAGAGGGTAAAACTGTTTGGACTTCCACAACCTTGAGGACAGCCTAGGAACACATTCATATCTGATTGAGATGATAGGGAAAATGTTCTGTGCATTGTCTGGAAAAATAACCTCTAACAGTGGTCAAGGGCCTTTAAGATTAGAAAGAAGAAAGCCCAATTCAGCCAAAGTCACATCCCTTTTTCTTTTTAATACAACTGACCATACTCATGTTATTATTAATAAAATTCATATGATTTAAACAAATGTCATTAGCCATACCCACCTGCTTTAGAGGTCGAGGAGAGATGCTAAAAAGAGTATTGATAGATCTTCAGATACTAGCACCTGCAAGCATGGCTTTTGGACCAGTAGCACTAGCAGAATCAGCGTCACCTGGGGACATGTTAGAATATTGAGCCCCGGCCCCATCCCAGACCTGCTGAATGAGCACCTACATTTTACCAAGATCACGTTACAGTTTGGGAGGCATGATTTGAAATTGTGAGGCTCCTGTCTTCATTCTTAGATTCTGGCCATTTCAGTACCCGTTATTAGGTGGGTAAGCAAGTGGCAATTTGTGTTTGTTTGTTTGTTTATCAGTGCTTATCGTATCTTTCAAAAGAGAAAGGTGGGAATCATGGAAAAGGAATGAAATGAGACCGTTTCTGGCAGCCAACCGCACGGGCTCTTTCACATGCCATGTTTTTTAAATAGCTAATTTGACGTTTTAAGCAAAAGCATGCAAAAGATACCTACCAAATTTTTTGGGAACCCAGTCAAGACCAAAAGTGAACTTCTTTATCTGCACTACCAAGTATTCAGGGAATGAGGCAAAGCGAGATGTTCTGGGAAACACAAGGGGATTAGATCAATGAAACAGGCAATAAGAATTATGGATACAGTTCATGAAGCATCAAAAGCTGTGTCTGAGGCACACCCAGCAGTCCCAGGGCCTGCAGTGAAGAGCAGACACACGCACACGGGAGTGGACATGCACGCACACGGGAGTGGACACGCACACACCACCTCACCACTCATCCTGGCCTTTCCCCGAGAGGACGGTGTTTAACACAGGACAAGGTTGTCCGCAAGGATGATTTTGGACACCCTGCAAAATTACTACTTTTACTGTGCTGGGGCATTTTGTATTTCTGAAAAGTGGTTTTCAACTATAAACATTTGTGTTTTTCTAAAACCTTTGGTAGTGTCACACGTATCTGTAGATGCATAGAGGCACCTGTGCACTGTGTTTATGTATGAAGTTTGAAAAAGCTCCCTGAGCAAGCCTGACACACCCCCAACCTGCTCTGACCACAAGTCTTTATCTTACAGCACAGAGTTGGCATCAGGAGGGTACATCGGAACTTCGGTTGAGGCTGACTACTGGAAATGCCAGGACCTCTTTAAAATACTACCACACCTAAAATCTATGGCCACATGGATCCTAAAGGGGTTGTGTGTGTGTGTTTGTGTGTGTGTGTGTGTACTATGAGGTATCTAAAATATCTAAATCTGGACCTTCAGTTTTAAAAATGAATATACATGGTTAATGTCTTAAGTTTCCTTTCAAACTTTCATGAATGCTGAATTGCCTGGACTTGCCTTTGATGATTTTATGCACAAACTATTCAACTAATACATCAAATACATGCCCCAGTTTCAGCTCATTCTCTCCACATTTATTATCTTTTTTAAAAAAACCATTTCTGTTCAAGTGTCAATCTGAGTACAGTAAGTTATATATTAAAAAAAATAGATTTAAACAGATACAATGGGTACCTTTTAAAATAAAAGATTCTAGGACACGTTTCCTACAAACTCCACTTTTCAAATCTACATGGAATGCATAGTCCCAGAACTCAGAAATCAAATACCAATGCACTGCTGCCCCCTTGTGTAGAAGAAAAGCCACAGTTCAGGTGCAGAGAACTGTCCAAAAAGTGTCAGACTTGGATGCTACTTAATTCACTCCAAATCTAACCCTCCTTGAGGCTTCCCATTTACAAAGCGGGTTTATTAGTAATATCTGCCTGCCGGGGCTGTGCAATGGTCATGAAATGTCATGAAACCACCTGGCATACTAGAATGTGCTGTGGACAGCTAAGGGGTTAGCATGATGATTTTGTCAGGCAAGAGCTAGAATCCACAGCACCAAGGACACTGGGCTGGTTTGTCACTGACCTGTATTTTTCCCCAAGCAAGTCACTTAACCACTCGGGATCTCAAATTCCCCATCACAAGGAAGGTAGAAGGGTACGGGCAATGAGGGAGTTTCTCAAAAAACAAGAGCTTAATGATCCTAAGGAGCTGATCTATTAGCCTAGCTCACTCTCCAGAAATTATATATTATCTCTAATTAGGTTTTCCTATCCTCTGAGAAGCAGTATTAATATCATTCTTAAATATAGCCAAGTCCTCAATTTCACCAAAAACTAAGAAACACCATCTGATATTTTCAACGACTATGAAAGTGTCACCTCTCTGACCCCTTCTTCTAACCATGTAAATTTAAAATCTGGAATATTTCAATATAACAATGAAATCAACCAAAAGTCATCAATGATTTCCAGACTGTGGTTCAGGATCCCAAAGATTCCTGAAGTTGCTCTGTGATCAGTATCTGGGTGAGGAATCAGCTGGTAATATACCATGGAGTGGGAGGCAGCAGAGGGAACTCAAGGCTGATAATTTAACACATCACTTTGTTGTGGGTAGCTATCAACTTAAGAGTACCAGAAAGCAGGTGAGATGACGTCCACATTGTATTTTTCCTGTTGGTTAAACATTCCTTATTCATTTTTGTATATAGGGTCTCAACTTGAATCACACATTCAGTAACTGCTTAATATAAATATGTTCAAGTCGGCCTCAAAACTAACACTTGGCATTCATTAATTGCAAGTTTGGGACATCAAGTTTGTTGTTAAATCTGATAAGGTTATAAATCATGCACCAGTTACTCTTCTATTCCTAAAATTAATTCCTGGAATTAAAATTTTTCTTGAAAAGTTATATACTTAATAAAGCCCACTGAAATATAAATCATCCAAAAAGGTCTAGATAGACACTGAGTAAATTCACCTCAAAGAACTGTTACAGGAACTGAGTTAGAACTAAAGAGCTTAGAACAGTGCCTGACAACAGTATGGCATTGTCTATCAACAACCTATTACCTTATTTAAAATGCATCAATTATTCACTGGTTACAAATTCAGGCAAAAACATTATGAAAGCCGTATTAAGAAAAATATATTGATATATAAAGTCTCTCTCCCTGAAATTATTAACACTATTTATTGAAAACCTGGTGACTAAAAAAATTCCATCATTTCCATTAAATACTTTGAAAACATAGTTAATCAACCACCTAATTAACCAAATCATAATTTAAAACATAATTAATCAACACAAACTGTATAATCCAGGTAAAAAAAGATAAGAGTAATGCAGTAACAATTACAGTGTATATTTACTCCACCAGGCACTATGCAAAGCATTTTATGCTTGATCCTCACCTCAACCCTATAAAGTTCTATTATTATCCCCAGTTTACATATAAGGAAACTGCAGTTTATGGAGGTGAGGTCACTTGGCCAAGGTCACATACCAGTAAGTTCTACACTGAGAATTCAAGCGCTGCCAGTCCACCTAAAGCCCACGCTCTGAGCCCCAAACCGTGCCTTTCTGCTCATGAATGATAAAGGTTAAGATGAAATCTGTCCCTATCAACCTTTAATCGGTCAGCTCCTTGAGGGGAGGAACTCCATCTCATTCAGTTCATTGCCCAAGATACACTAGGTGGGCAATAATGTTTGCTGGGTGAATAAAATTTCCAAACACATATTCTTCCCAGTCACTGTCTGTCCAGGACCAAAAAGGGAAGGATCTTTATGTCTGGTCCATACTGACCCAAGATCTACCAAGAGGACATCTTTTGTCTCTTCCCGGCCTTTTGGGCTCTGGGTCTAACACAAGAAAAATTTAAGGCCCCAAAGTAACATAATAAAGAGATCATGTCTATATTGCTGGAACAAAAAGAAAAAAAAGATATTTTAGGAATTCACTGAACTAGTTCCCCCAAAACTATTATTTGAAACATAAGGTATAATAAAGAATAAGCAATACTGTAAGGATTATAAAGATGCAAGCATAAGCAAGCAGGAAAGGAATATGGGGGCCGTATACAACACAAGGATTAAGAGTTTAAACTTTAAATGAATGAATTCCAAGTCTGTCACTTAGTAGCCATTATTAATACTTCCTTTACTTCCTCATCTGTAAAATGGGGAGAATAAAGTGCCTATGTCACAGCAGTACTAGAGGGATTAAGCAATATATGATGGGATTCACTTAGCATATAACGTGGAATAATACTGATAAATGTGCCATAATGGTAGTTGCTTTATTACCCTAGAATACTGCTTTTTCCTTTCCCACAAGACCAGTTTTCAATTACCAACAATTGCAATACATCCAATAATAACTTTCTTTCATATGCGTTAAACCAAAAGATGTATGTAAACATACATAATACGTGTGCATGTAAAAGAGAAAAAGAAGAAACACGTTCAATAGCTACTGCTAAGGATTAGAGAAGGTAGAAACCCCCCTGCCTACAACTAAGTATTTTGTGGGTCAGCAACCATCATTCCTCCACTCAGATGTAAGAAGGAACTGGTTGCTAACTTTGCCCCAGGTTACAGCACAAGCTGGAAAGTGGACACATGAGAAGAATCCATATCTCCTGACCACCAGCCCAGGGGTCAGAGACTGTCTGTGGAAGGCTAACGCTTCCCAGCTCCACTTCAAAGATTCTCCTTTTCCTAGTGATGAGAAGATGCCTTCCTCACAGGCCTAGAGAGTAGGTCACACCCTGTACTTGTAAGACTCTGAAGAGCAGAAAAGGGGGACCAGGCAGACTGGCCAGTGAAGACCTTTTCTGCAACTCACACCTGATGCTGGACTTTCTAGGCCACCAGGCCTCTGATCACTTCCACCTCCCATACAGAGTCAGAATTAAAGTGCAAAGAGAAAAGGACAAATGTTTGTGGAATCTTCAGCCTACTGTCAATAATAAAGAAGAAAAAAAAATTTTTTTTAATCAGACAGTACATCTTAAACTCACAAAACGTTATGTGAATTATAAGTCAATAAAGTTGAGAGAAAAAAACTGCTTTCACCACTAATAAAACATGTAGCTTTCTAACTGCTCAAAGATGTGCCCAAGGTGTAATGAAGTGAATCACGAACATTTAACACGCCAGCTCACCAACTCTTATCTGCAAGGACATACACACACAAGCACACACATACATACACATACACACTCCCTAAAACTGAGCAGTCCTCAGGTGAAAACTTACTCCACAATGGATAACTGATAACTGAACTATTATTAATCTCCTCTGGATGTGAAAAAACTTTTTAAAAGAAATTATTATTAAGAAAATGTGGTTTTCTCTTTAAAGCTTTTGAAACATTCTTTTTGTTTTCCCGTTTTTAACACATGAAGTCAATCATCTGAAACAGAGGAATCCTGAGGGATGACTGTCACAGAGAATAAGCAATTCAGGTTTGACTGCTACTTGTGGTTGTGGGAAAAAAAACAGCCAGCAGTAGCTCATCCATCCTTCCCTGCCTTTCATGTCACCTAGAGCTCAGGCTGAGCCCAGAAAAAAGTGCCTGAAGAATATCTAAAAGTAATGAGTTCCAGAGACTAACTTCTAGACCTCCCCTCTTTTTATGCCATTGTAAGTTCTCTTTATCCAACTGCATAAAGTATGCAGGCAAGGACTTAACTGTATAAAATCAACTGTTTCAAGTGGAGAAAAAAAAAAAAATGTATGGACCTGACAAGAAGGATCACAATATAGAAACAGAACTTCTCCTGACCATGTCTGAGCAGCTCATTGGAACAAAGTCCAGGAACCCTGAGGTCCCCTTTGAGATGCCCTGAGACCCCTCATCTCCAGGCAGGAACAGAGTCACCAAGTTCTAAGTCAAATCTTTAACTGTGGAATCAGAATCTATCACAGTGGAGTTTAAATACTGAAGGCTGTCATAAGTAGTTTTCTAATTTCTTCATTAATATCATCTTGCCATGGGGCACAAGAGTTCTTGGCTATACCTGCTCAGTAAAAAAAAAAAAAAGAAAGCATTCTCTCCCTTACACGTGATACAGATTACAACCAGCCTGTTTCACTGGACAGACCTCATACAAGCAAGGTCTATGACAACTAGGGTTGTGTAAATCATAATCCCATCTGGCCACACATGAGCAAGCATGCACAGACCTGTAGAGTGGCACCCCTTGCCCTGCCTACTGGTCCCCACCTCTCAAGGTCCCCTTCTCATCCCACTGCCACCACACAAGCACACACATATACACACTTACTTCACACCCGCAGACTTTGCTTGCAGGGCGCTGCTCCAGAAATCATCAACATTTTCTGGTTCAGAAAAGGCCTGCAGGCAGGCACTGAATGGGATCTTGGCACGAACCAGCTCGGGAAGGGGTCTTCTGTTTGATTCTGCTTCCCTTCTCGTTAGTTCATAGGCAATCAGTTCATCTGTGTAGAAAAGCAAACAAATGAGTTTGCAGTCATTTATTTTCTTGAAAGGAAAGAGCCCCTTGAACAATGAACAGCCTTCCCTGAAGGATTCTGGGCTGGGGTTAGGACTGCTTATTCGCTGCCCTCCACAGAGCCAGAGGAGCCTGCTGAAAGCGTGTTTTGAGTGGCAATGCCAGGCTACATCAAGCCATTCATTTTTTGCCTGTTCCTCTTTGAGGCTGACAGGAGAATGTGACTCCTGTCTGTGTAACTGTGAATTACGGTACAGGTGAGAGGTTCAAACTACACATGTGCTATAAGTGATGCATGAACCTGGGCTTTCATTTATTCAGAGGTCAAGACTGGTTTGACCCCAAACCACCCTCTAATCACAAGGTCTCCACACCAGAGAATTTCATGCGGAGAGAAACCCGAGGGCTCACCTCTTCCTGGCCCTTGACCACGATGAGAGGTCATGGAGAGTGCGGGCCAACGAGCAGGATGAACAGTCACCCAAGGCACCAGACCTGCAATCCGACCCAGCACCACCAAGACAACTTCATGTGGGGTTACCTGACACTGCAGAAAGCAGAGCGGCCAACCCAGAAGGCTTTCTCACTATCCCTGCTCAAATGACTGAACACCCAGGGGAAAAAAAGTGAGTACACTGTGAGCTTCCCAAGGGTCAGCAGATCTGCTCTTGGAAACCACCTCTAAGTCAAAATTCTATATATTTCAAATGGACCTTTCCAGGAATTCCTTCTGTGTTACCAAAAATCGCTTCTGATTTATCAGTTTTTAGATACCACTGATGTATCTTTGTGTTTTCTTAAACACATCTGGATATGTTCTTACAGTTCATTCCCCAGTCCACCAGCGATTCAGGATGAACTTCTGCCTAGGATGCTAACATTACATGTTTCCAGCTATCAATTTCCTGACACTAAATTACAAATCTCCTTTCTGGAAAAAAAAAATAGCTACCAGTCATAAATTATAAACAGTGAGTTTAGAGAGGATCACAGGACTGAGTAGAATATGTTAGCCAGCATCCACCATGATAGGCAAGAGAAAGCAATTAGGCCTCATGCTAAAAAGGAAACAAACCAGAGATCCCCACCCCACTGCTACTTTGTGTAATGAATAAGAATTTTAAAATTAGCCAAAAGCTGCAGAAGTTCATAGAAAATGTAAAGTGTTTCATCTTAAAATCATTTTCCAATTAACACAATAAAGTGACTACCCACCACTCCTGCAAAAAGAGAATAAAAAAGCCACCCATGGAATGTTTGAACTTTACAAAAATGACCAGTTCACAGGAGATAAGCAATCAAGCAGATATTTCTCCTTTTTCTGCTTCTAAGATATTAGTTCTAAGAAATATCATTTATCTATTTTGTCTGAAAAGAACCAGATCAGACTTATTGAAGGAAATTTCCCCTGAGCATCACTCCCTCCACCTGGGTATCTGCCTTCTTCCTGCTTCCAAGGTCCAGAGGCCTTTCTAAGGGGCTTCTGCCTCACTGAGAGCCTGGCCACACTTTATCACCCACAAGAGGTACCTTGCTCAGATGCCAAAGATGGATTCTTTTTAAGAGACCTCTGCTTGAATGGCTCATATCAAAAAATGTAGTTCTGACCACTTCCCTCAGACTTTACAGCACAAATTGTAAGTGATAATGTTAAACTACAAATAATTTCCTCCAAATGAAACTGACTCTAAACCAACCTGTTGTTGAAACTTATAGGCCCTGAAGTAGGTTCCCTCCATAACCGGCTCCATGAAAACCTCTAAAGAAAGCCACATGGGGACTGCGGAATCGATGAGAAGAGACATGCAGAGCAGACACCCTCCAGGTCTACTCCAGACACAGCTCTGCAGTAACTAAACCGCACCATCTCTTACTCGAGGGTCTTCACGTGTGAAGAAGCGCCCTGCTCACTTCCCGCTCTGGGCCATTACCTTTGTTGGTTGCCGCCTCCATGGCCACAGGTAACTGCATCAGGTAGTCCACTCTCTCTGTGTAGCGGACTTTTCGGGTCTGACAGCACTGAATCCGCTCTTCCACCAAAAACCGAAAAACATCACTTGGGTTTTCTGAGCCAATGCGGTTCCTCTGAAAATGAGATTATGTCAAGTCAGTAAACTTACATTACTTTCATGGGACACACATGCCATGTCGTTTTAGTCATGTCTGACTCTTTGCAACCCCACGGACTGTAGCCCGCCAGGCTCCTCTGTCCATGGGATTTCCCCAGCAAGAATGCTGGAGTGGATTGCCATTCCCTTCTCCAGGGGATCTTCCTGACCCAGGGATCGAACCTGAGTCTCCTGCATTGTAGGCAGATTCTTTACTGTCGGAGCCACGCATGTATAAAAATTAGCACAGAATCAAATATAAATCTGGTGAAAAGATCTGATGTTACTAAACATTCCCTCTGGGCATGCCAGTTCAGAGTACTTTAAAGCAAAAGACTGGTAGTTACCTAAAGTCCAAAAATAGGAGACTGGTTAAATAAATTATAGTTCATCATGTAAATAAATAGTATTCAGCCATCAAAAGTCATGGCAGAGGGACTGACCTAGACAGAATTAGAAGAAGGGAGATATGAAAAGCCAAGTAAAGAGAAAAGAGGAAAAAAAATCAAGGGCTGCCCTGGAAAAATTAAGCCACGTATAGTTAGGTTGTTTGAGATGGACATGTACACACTGCTATATTTAAAATGGATAACCAACAAGGACCTATTATACAGCACATGGAACTTTTCTCAATGTTACGTGGTAGACAGGATAGGAGGGGAGTTTGGGAGAATGGATACATGTATATGGATGGCTGAGTCCCTTTGCTGTTTACTGAAACTATCACAACACTGTTAACTGGCTATACCTCAATATAAAATAAAAAGCTTAAAAATAATTAAAAAGTAAACTTTTAAAATTTTAAAGTTTTTTAATTTAAACAAATTTTTATTTAAAAAATATTTTTTAAAATTTGTTTAAATTCAAAAATTAAGCCATGTATGATATGAATCTATAAATGTACTAATGTAAATTATACACAAATAAAAAAGAAAGTAGGCTATATTTGAGTACATAATGACATGGCAAAATGTTCACAACAGGTTAAGTGGAAAACACTGCTCACAAACCAGCAAGCAGAGAATGAACTGCACCTAGAAAATGACTGGGGGTGGAGGTAGGGAGTCAGACACCAGAATGTTAGCACTGCTTGTTTAGGGGAGCAGGTAGCATGGGAGGTTTTGATTTTCTCTTCTGTGCCTCTGTTTCCACAAAGAACACACTAGTCATCAGGAAAAAAGTAGTTATTTTTTTAAGGGGGGGAAAAAAGCCTTTAATCATAAATTCTCAGTGGCCTTTAAGAACCACAGCATTTAATGTGATTTGATTCTGCTCTAAGCCCAGAGTGAGCATCTCAGAGGACAAAGGACAGGAGGACACCAAATATCACACTGGACTCTGAAGGAGCTTGTCACAGAGACAAAAAACAAAAACAGGGAATGAAACAAATGGATAAACACTCCTAGAACACATTCAAATTAGGAGGAGAACAGGGAGACCCACGAAGGCTGAGAAAGCCAAGCATGAGGAGCAATTACATCAAGCTGGCCAAACAGAGAAAGCCCCAAAGACGCCAACTCTAAAAGGAGCCCAGACAGGGAGAGGTTGGGCGGGTGGCAGCATTCTGGCCACACGGGCAGGACTGCACGCGAGGGCTGGACCCACTTCTAACAACCCTTTCAAGCAGTTCTAAAGGCTGACTTACCTCTACTAGATTCACCAGGTGCAGGAAAAACTCCTGGGCATCCTGCTGTCTGTTGGAGGAGAATTCCGGGTGGCTCTTGCTCACAAAGGCCTTAAACATGCGTGGGGAGATCCCATTCTGTTGAGGCTAAAATAAAAAAATAAAACCAAAACTCACAAGTGGGAAGCAGAGCGGAGATTACCAGTAGCCAGGATTTCAGATAAGAATACGGAAGCCCACGTTAGCTCAGTGACAGCGGCCAGGTCACGCTGGATGTTGATTGCCTACCAGGCACTGTGCTGTGAAACTGACGTGGGGATGGGACGGGGCTCTTCTGTTGACTCAAAACTAACAGGTGCGATAAACACCCCGATTTCTGTCCTCATAGGACTTGCTCCATAGTGGCCAAACTGGTCTGCGACAACCCATTTCAGAACAGGCTAGGGATGCACTGGGGCATGGGAGGTGGTCCTCTGACGGAAGTTAGAGGACAGGTGAGCCCAGCAGCATCCCTCCCCACCACCAGGAGGGAATAAGAGAGAAAGGAGAGGAAACGGTTCCCAGCCCCAGGCAAAGTACTGCTCAGGGGCCAGCCCAGGGCTGTTTCTGGACCACAGGGCGCTCCTGGGAGCCCGCTCCTCACCTGGAGAAGCCAAAGGAGGCTGCCTGCAGCTGCCAGGATGGGAAGAGCTGGGACAACTCTGGCTGTGAACTTTGGATGTGTGAACTTCCCCGGGGGGCTAAGGGACCGCTCAGAAGGCAGCTGGGCTCCTCCAGAGAGGACGCTGCCTAAGACAGCGGGAGGGCGGCCTGCCGAGGGGCTGGGATAGGGCTCAGAGAGGTCACCGGGAGAGGGCATCAGGTGAAAGGTCCTCACGGGGGTCTCTGAGAGGACAAGCACATCTCTAAAACAACCACTGATGTGCACCCACAAAAGGCCAACCATGACCACAGACTCACGCAGCCAAGACGGAGCAAACACACTCTGCTCAGGGGAAGGCTCTGCCTCAACTCCAATCTCCCCAACCCTTGACCCTTGACCCTGGAGTAGCCTGAGGAGGGAAAGAGGTGGAGCAAGGATGGAAAAACACTAGAGCAAGCCGACACTGACCTTTCTACACTGCTGGTTTCCAAGGCACCTGAGATTGGTAGTGGGAGAAGCCTTAAACTGGCTTTGATGTGAAATGGGCTTTTTAATGCCAGTAATTTGCTCTTGAGCTGCAATATTGGAGAAGACTCTTGAGAGTCTCTTGGACTGCAAGGAGATCAAACCAGTCAATTCTAAAAGAAATCAACCCTGAATATTCACTGGAAGGAACAAAGATAGAAGGAGAAGGGGACAACAGAGGATGAGATGGTTGGATAGCATCACCAACTCAATGGACATGAGTTTGAGCAAACTCTTGGAGATGGTGAAGGACAGAGAAGCCTGGCGTGCTGCAGTCCATGGGGTGTCAAAGAGTCAGACACAACTGAGTGAACAACAGCAATCTGCTGGAAACCCAGGCACTCGGCCTGAGATACTCTAAAGAGGCAGGGTGGAAGATCCACATCATCGTTAAGGATAAAGCTGTTTCCTGAGTCCTCTCCACGATCAGCCTCTAATAATGGTGCAGCACGTCTCCTTGTGTAAAACCCTACGAAGTAGCAAAACCCTACAAAGCAGGTGCCACCATTATCCCCATTTTACAGTCAGGGAAACTGAGGCTGCAGAGAAGTGCCACCAAGTCTGTCAACTGAAGTGCTCTTATGACCAGATGACCATGCAGCCAGCAAAGAGCCAGAACTGGGTTCTGATCCCAATTCCCCACTCCTGGCGGCAAAACTGGAGTCATAGCCACAGCACACTTTAGGTCTCAGTGAGACAAACCTCACCTCGCCAATCAAGCATAAGTGATCCCTGTGCTCCATGCAAAGGTGCACCCACATCTCAAAACCTCTACATGCGCAGCCTCCAAGCCACCATCCCCTCCTCAGAAATACAGGGAACTTGCTATCTGGGCCATCAGGGAGTACTGAGCACAACACCATGCCTTGTGCTTTAACATTCAGCCCGCTCTAGCCTGTCTCCTCAGCCTGACTGCAACATTTGGCAGGCAAAGGCTTTGTCTCACACCTCCATGAGATCTCCTAGACACCAGGGTCCAGGCCTAGGGTCCACAGGCTAAGGCAGGGGTGCACAATCACACAGTCAGATGCAAAAAGTGATGGCAAAACTCCAATAACTATCTCTCCCAGCAGCCACAAGGCAGCTCTACATATGAAGTCTCTTCAAGGCACACATGTTCTAAGCGATGTTTCTAATAAAACTCAGGAGAATTCTGTCTTGCTCAAAATATATCTGATCTGGGCATCTAGTATTTACTGGCCACCTACTTCATGTAGAACATGTTGGGGATTCCTCTCCAAGAGCTGACGGACAACAGGTGGGGCGGGGGTGAGATTCAACACATATCTATAACAAATATTAGGGAACACTGCAGACAACCTAAAGCAGTGTTGGCAGCTCTGGGAGAAGAACTCCCCAAAGAGGCAGCATTTGAGCATCTGAGAACTTGGAACCTGTGTATAAATGATCAGCCTACACACACACACAAGGCTGCAGATGTGCCTTCAGCATCGGTGAAGACCAATTTATACCTGATGATCCATTTAACTACCCACACATACACCTCCTGAAAGGCATATAAAAGTTGTAACTTTCTTCACTCATAATGCTGACATGTATCTATATAGTATCAGCCAACACATGCATGCAAATAATGTCTTATATTTGCATACTAACATTTAGTCATTCATTCAGTAGGAATTTACAAGTGTTACAAAATGTCAGTCACTATTCTAGGTATGAGGATGAACATTTAAGAGGTGGCAGGCACAGTTCTGAGCACTTTATATGTCCATCTTTAGTTAAATTACTCAACCTCACGAGGTGACTATTATTATTATTTTCTACATTTGACAAATGAGGAAACTGAGTTAGAGAGGAGTTAAGTAACTGACCCAGGATCACACAACTAGGAAAGTCAATCTGTCTCACTATCTCTTTTTATCCATCTGTCTTTCTCTCTCGTGTCCTAACACTGTTTCTTGCAAGAACCACATGTGCCTAGTTCTCACCCCTGATGTCTGAAGTCTCTCTTACCCACTGCTGAGAAGACAGTGTGTCTGGATTCTGGGTAAGCCCTCTTCAAATCGACCTCTGAGGTCAACCTCCCAGGCCGGGCCAGCAACGACGTCTCCATCTGGGCAGTGCAGAGGCACCACCTGGAATACGTCTGTCCGTGCTGTGAACTTGGGTTTAGGCGTTCACATATGCACAAACTCACTGCTTGCTGCTGTTACCTCTTACAAGCTGTGCTTGGCTGCCAGTCCCCATCAAAGCAGCTGCTTGGGAAAGTTTACCAACTTGCTGAAAGTAAACTGAAGAGTTGGCTGCTGCTCTATGCCACCGTATGGTCGTAGAGCTGGGAGAAGTTCCAACAGAGACCATGGAGAAAACTCCAGAGGCTCAGCCCCACGCTCGGGCTTTGGCCCAGCCTCATTCACTCCCCTCCATGCCTCTTTCCTCTCGGTGCCCATTTCAGTTCCTTTTTGCCCTCAACTGACCTGGCCTAATCCCTGGTGCAGCAGACAAGTTATAGTTTGAGAAGTGATGATCACCGAGAAGTCATTAAAAAACTTCCTAACTGGAGACATGTTGTCTCTGCCCCACTGCAGACCAGCTCCCAGCTTTCACAGATGGTCTGATTTATCTCAAACTCAGCCACCCTACACTTAATGCCAAACCATGGCTAGCCCCTCTGTCCTCACCCATGGTCCTCAACTATTCTACCTCTGATTTTTGAGGGGAGGTTTCACTAATTCCCATGATCAACTATTACTATGTTCACATTATGTCCATATAAGAGAAAGTCAGGCTATAAAAATGTTGAGCCTGAATCTAATTAAACTTCCACATCTAACTTCCAGCTTATAAGAAACACAAACTGAACAAAACCTTAAGGAAGCAATCCTTAGAGCAATCCTGGGGCAAATGATTCAGCTCCTTCAACAGATCAGTCTTGCAAAAAGAGAAGGACTCTGAGAAGCTGTCTTTGATGTCACTGTTGTTCAGTCGCTCAGGCGTGTCCAACTCTGCGACCCCATGGAATACAGCACACCAGGCTTCCCTGTCCTTCACCACCTCCTGGAGCTTGCTCAAACTCATGCCATACAACCATCTCGTCTTCTGTTGTCCCTTTCTCCTCCTGCCGTCAATCTTTCCTAGCATCAGGGTCTTTACCAATGAGTCGGCCCATCACATCAGGTACTGGAGCTTCAGCACCAGTCCTTCTAATGAATACTCCGGGTTGATAGTGGCTTTGACAGTGCAGGGGAAAATACGGATATTGGCTGGGTACTGAATGATACATTTTGATACATTTTGCTAGTGTGTTTCTAATACCTTAATCGACTTTCAACATATTGCTTTTTTTTAAAAAAAGTATTCTAGTTACAGGTGCATACTGAATATTTACAGGTAAAAAGGATGGTGTTTAGATTTTGTATTCAATTTCTGCAGGGAAAGGAGGGGAAGGGAATGAGGAAGGAGGGGGAAAATTGAGTACAGGGGGGATCGATGAAACCAGATTGGTGATGGCACGTGGAGATTCATTATACTATGCCCTCTATGTCTGTGTATTATTTGCAAATTTAAATAATTCTTTTAAAAGATCAGGTTCCAGAATAAAGCGGTCACCTAAAAGAAACCAAAAAGCCTAAATAAGAACCCCAGGTGTTGACATTTGGCAGAAATCAACATGACACTGTAAAGCAGTTATCCTTCAATTAAAAATAAATGTTATTTTTTATTTTTTTAACTTTAAAAAAAGAACCAGAGGGAATCTCCTGGTGGTCCAGTGGTGAAGACCCAGTGCTTTCACTCCTCTGGCCTGGGTTCAATCCCTGGTCAGGAAACTAAGATTCTATAAGCTGTATGGTACAGGCAAAATAAATAAAAGGAATCAAAGAAATACCATGTTTTCTAGCAGGCACTGGGCCAGTACCATCACCTGAGTGTCCCCTATGCGCCCATCACCAAACAAGATGAGAGAGACCAACACTGACCAAGAATGAGGCTTTTTAGGAAGCTCACACGCTTTCTGTAAGCTGACCCTTGGACACCAGAAGCAATGGCTTGTCCTGACAACTAACTTTACAAGAGAGAGCTCCAGACCATCTCCAAAATAGCAACCACCTAAGAACCCTGTCATATTTATAGGATACTGTACTTACTTTCTCCATCAGCAATTGGAAAACAGATCAGCTAAAATTAGAGAGAGGACTACAGTGTTCAGAATCTTTCCTAAATGCTTACACAGAGCTTTCTGTTTAACACGCACCAAGAAGGCAGTCACTGTCCACTCATATTCGTCTGGGCTTAATGCTTTAATTAACAAAAAAGGAGAAAGACTAAGGCTTTGTATCAACTTAGAACAACGCTTGTAGAGATACTTACACTATAAGATCACCAGGATGAAAAAAAAAAAAAAATACATACATCTCAGCCTGTCCCCAATACACAGGAGTATATTATCTGTTGATTCAAATTTTTAACCTTAAATCATAAACCTTGGACCAGTAATTCCTAACTCATGTCCAAACCCCAAATCTCCTAGGCTACAGGAACAGAAGTTATTCCCCCAAACTATTTTTCATAATTTAAAAGATGAGTTAGAAATGTTACATTTGCCCAAAGTAGGAAAATGGAGGTTAGTGAAAATAAAGTTCTTATGTTTGCAGCTATAAATACATCACCTGGAAGCAGAACCTTGGTTATCTCATGTTGATCAAAAACTGAGGCCAGCAATTTTGTGTCAGGGATTAATTAGAACGGGAAATTAAAATGACTGCCGCTTAAGAAACTGTTTGGAATACAGAATTGTCAATAATGTGCTATCTTCAGAAGGAAAAATAAATTATAGAGTAATCTGTATTAAAATGTGTGAAAGCACTGTCTTAAAATGCATAAAGATCTGGAATACATTTTTTGGAGAAGAAAAACTACTTTCATAGTGAGCAGGTTTTTATCTACTATAGATGCAATTTAATTTTAAAAATCAATTCAACAAATTTATATAGAAATGGCAGTGCCCCCCCCAAAACACTGCAAATCTTTTTGTAGATGAAATGCGTATTAAGCATGCATCTATAAAAACTCGATTTCACCTTGGTCTGTAGCAGAGCAATGAAGTATATATTTTAGAAATGACCCAAGGTGTGAATAGTCCAAGTTACTGGGCTACCTGGTAACTCTGTAAAATCTACCCAGCCCCTTTATCACCCATCTGCAGCATCCACACACAGAGGCCCTGGGAGCCTGAAATGAGTATTGGAACAACTGTCAGGGAAGCAGGACAGCGGAGAGACTCTGTAAAAACTGCACAGACTCAGGACCGGACTCTCTGGTGTAAACCCCAGCTCTCCACTCCCTGACTTTGTAACTGTAGGCAAGGATACTGTGCATCCATTTCTGCATCAGGGAACACACAGCAGGGCCTGGGCTAGTCACTGGTATCACTGGTAGTGGAGGCCCTGAAAAAGGCACTCCTGCCTCATGGCTGTCTGTGCGGCACACATTCCTCTCGTCATTTAGCCTCTGTTTCAGCACATCTTCCTTCCTCTCTTGGAGCATTTCAGGCTCCTCTACAAGACAAGAGACAAACAGCGGAGACCAGGGACAAGACCTCCTGACCACAGGACTCCTGAGACCTGGAAAAAGAAAGGCTCTCCCAAATTGGTTGCTCTGAAACCAATTGCCAGTGAAAATCTTGACGCCTCAGAAAGTAATTCCTTCCACTGTCAAGAACAGTTGAGCTCTTACAATGAATTACTTGTCTGTCCAAGTAATAGCTTGAAAGTGATACCTCTGGGGCCACAAAGAAAATCATGAGGTCAATTCAAGCTCATTCTGAATGTCAAAGGGACCCTATTTATCCTGGCACCTCACGGGTGCGGGTGATGGTGAGGGGAAGAACTTTATAAATCATCTAGACCAAGGGTCACACCCAAATACCCAGTGTACCAGTCAGGTCAAAAACCACAAAGGGACTGGAGCCAGCTGCAGACTGCGTGTCCTGTGTGATGGGAGGGCTGCTACTCAGCTCCAGCCAACTGCTCTCAGGGGCCTGGGACCGCCAGAGGTTCTGAATGTTTAAGAGAAACTGGAAATTCAGATTCTGTGGGAGGGCCCAGCAAAACACACCTGCAGGACAGACATGGCCCAAGGGCTGCCAGGTTGCACAGCCTGAGCCAGACAGGACAGCGGTTCCTGCCTGCAAGCCTCAGACCCCTGGAGATCACATAACTCCCACACTAATCCGAGGTGAGGAGGAGACGAGGGTCCCCAGCTGTTCACAGACTAAATAACGAATATGCCTTATATAAGAACTATTTACTTTCCTCTAGTATCACAAAAGGATATTGTGACATTAACAAAAGTAAATTTTCCTTCCAAACATTGCTAAATTGGTCAGTTTTCATTTTACATTTTCTCAAATGAAAAGATTCCAAAAACACAACAGTCCTGTAATGTACACAGACTCTATTTACATTAGAAAGAGGCCCCTTCACACTTGCAATATTCACAGCCACCAGCGAGATCAATCTGCCATTTGAGGGCTGAGATTGAAAGGTCACAGGACTTGCCCCCCACCCCCGTCTCCAGATCTTCGCAGAGTCAGGAGAGGAAGCCAGGCCCCCGAGGCCCAACCAAGCCTCCATCTCCTCCACCACGAAGGATGGACTCTGCACCAAGAAGTGACAGCCTGGATGAAAACCCAGAATCAGTTCAGTTCAGTTGCTCAGTCGTGTCTGACTCTTTGCGACCCCATGAATCGCAGCACACCAGGCCTCTCTGTCCATAACAAACCCCCGGAGTCTACTCAAACTCATGCCCATCGAGTCGAGTGATGCCATCCAGCCATCTCATCCTCTGTCGTCCCCTTCTCCTCCTGCCCCCAATCCCTCCCAGCATCAGGGTCTTTTCCAATGAGTCAACTCTTCGCATGAGACGGCCAAAGTATTGGAGTTTCATGTGATCATTTGGGGGACTTTCCTGATGGCTCAATAGTTAAGGATTCGCCTGCCAATGCAGGGGACATGGGTTTGATCCCTGGTCAGGGAATATCCCACATGCTTCAGGGCAACTAAACCTATGTGCCACTCCTACTGACCCATGCTCTAGAGCCCGGAAGGCGCAACTAGTGAAGTCTGCATGCCTAGAGACCATGCTCCACAGCAAGAGCATGCGGTCAATGAGGAGCCCATGCACTGAAGAGTACCTCCGGCTTCACACAACTGGAGAAAGCCCTCAAACAGCAAGGAAGACCCAGCACAGCATAAATAAATAAACAACACTTTGGACCAAGTTTTTTCACCACCACCTCTTCAAAGTTACACAGGAGCTCAGAGGTAGAAGAAGCCTGGATAACCTGACGCCCCAGCCCTACACCCGAACCACTTCAACTCATTCCAATCAAGGAAGGCTCTCCAAGTCTCAGGTGGATAAGGGACTCCTTGCTACAAGGCTGGGTAACAGGGCAACAGAAGACGGCCTGCCCCACAATACTCTGATCTCGTGGTCTGAGCCCCAAAATGCCTACATCCCTCTCCACCCTCCTGGCAACCTAATTCCCTCTCCCCACCCTCAAACACTGCCTCTATATTTTCCCTTCCTAATCTCTCTTCTCCTGTTTGCTCTACTTCCCCAACTAACTGGCTTCACTCTGAAAAAGAACTATTCACTTTCACTTCTTGCTCTCAGTCTGCAGGCATTAGTCAAGGATGATTGATGTAAGGTGGGAGCACAGAGGTCACACACTTGAGAAACAGAATTGAGAGAACTTGCCCACTCAGTCAAGACAAGGTAGCCTGGAGGCAGAGCAGCGGGGTGGGGAAGCGGGGCCCGCATTCCACTCAGGATATCTGCAGCTGTGGGAACCAAGACCCCCAGTACAGCTGGGCAAGCTGTGCCCTGCACAATTCCAAAGCCACCGCACCACTCCAAAAGGCCAGGCTGCAAGGGACACCCTCTGGAGTTGCATTAACAGAACAGCCCAGGGAGGGGTCAGTAGCCCAGACTGCAGACACAGGGAAATGTGAGTCTGATAATTAGGAGATGACGCACATCTTCCAGTCAGCCAATTAATAGTGACTGAATGGTATATAAGAAACTCAGTTGGCCAAAGTATGCTTTCAAACCCCCAGAAACTTACCAAAAATGAGGACTGCCCAGCCCTCCCCAGAAATTCAGAATCCTCTGCTAGGAGGTAGGGGTGGGGGATAGGAATATGTGTGTTGTGTTTTAACAACTAGTCTCTTAAGAAACCCTGGGAAACAAAGCTGTGGCTTAGAATAAGACAAATACTAGAAGCGCCAAGACCAGGATAACAAGGGAGAAAATGCTTATTTTTTTTATACGTTTATTCCTTCCATTCCAGCCCTATGTTATGAAGAATATTATTTCTAAAGACCAGAATTATGGCAATCACATATTATCCATGAAGCAAATGTCACTAGAAACCACAACTTTGCGGCCATTCCCTATCACAACTTTTAAGAGCAGACAGACACCCTAGACCCTGAAATGAAAGAGTTATGTTGACAGCTCACTAAATTTACAGCCACCATTCACCAAATCATAGGTAATCCACGTTCTCACTAGGGAGGTCCTTCTTTCCTCTGAATCAACGTGGCAGACACCCAGACACATACCTTGTGCTCCTCCTTCATCACCTGTTCAATGAGCTCAGACTTCACGGGAGGTTTTGAATACTGGCCTGAGAGAAGGCCATGTCCTAACTTAGTCCTGGACAAGAGGGAGAAACAGACAAAAAGGTCACTGTTGTTTCCCCTCAGAGAAGCCAAAATTATCTACAAATTTCAGTGACTACAGCTGCTTTTAGTGAAACACTGTATCTCAATTACTCACAAATAACTTACTTCATTCTGCTTGAAACTGATTCCATTTTCAAATTCTCAGTACTTTATAATTTTAGTAATTTCTTCCTTTTTATAAAAGCAACACGTGCTTATTTTAGAATACTTTTAAATAATACAGACAGTAAAGAAAAGAATCATCTTTAATTCTGCAACCCAGAGACAACCACTATGAACACTATTTTACAGCAGGTCACTTACATCTGTGTGTTGAAATCTTGCGTTGGATCTAAAGGAGAGTAGTCAAATATTCTTGGAAGATTTCCTACATACCTAGAAAATGAGAAGCAACAGTCAAAACATAGGAATTGAGAGATGAACAGAACCAAAATAAGCCATCATCCTAATTAAGACCTTCTTGCCTTTCTGTCAAAACTAAATCAGAATTTTTCCCTGAATTCCTACCTCTGCAGACACATTCATGGACCTCCTTATAGGACTTTCCCAGGTGACTGAGTGGTGAAAGAATCCAGGTTCAATCCCCAGGTTGGGAAGATCCCCTGGAGGAGGAAAATGGCAACCCACTCCAGTATTCTTGCCTGGGAAATCCTATGGACAGAGGAGCTTGGCAGGCTACAGTCCATGGGGTCACAAGAGTCAGACACAACTGAGCACGCACACACACTGAAGTTGAAAATGTTTATGCTTCCATCAATAGGCCTTAACCCCAGGTATGAGTTAAAATCCCCTCAGATTTGGAATCTTTTACAAGTTCCCCAGTGATTCTAACATGTAGCCAGAGTCAAGCACCACTGGCTTAGGCCATCGCAGCTACCTTCTCAAAACTGAAAGGTAAGGTAAGGAATTGTTCTGGTCACGTCAAAATGAATAATGACAGCAGTAACAACGACCATTTCTGGAGAGTTTCCTATACTGCCTGATTAAGTCTTCATTTACAACCATATGAGGAAGGGATTATTGTCATCACCCACTTTGAGAGATGAGAAATCAAGATGCAAATTCATTAGGTAGCTTCCAAAACCACCCAGGAGGGAGTGATGAAGCTCAGAGTGGACCCAGGCAGCCTGGCTCCCAAGCCATGCCGGGAACCATTCTGCTGGCTGTACCTGCCCCATCCACAAACCCTCTTTCTGACCAGTTTACCTGACATAGCAATCTAACTGTAACCATCCATCGCTCATCTCAACTCACAATCATTCCTTTCACTTCTTAGGTTCATTTCCTATCTCACAGTCCCTGCTTTGCGCTCTTTACCTTCCCCTCTTGAAACTTAGATTCTCTGAGCCTGGAAGTTTTAGAAAGTAGAATCCAGAAACAGATCTCTGTTCCTGCCCCTTCCTGCACCTGCCCTGCCTGCTTCTCTGACCTCATTCCCACCCTTCTCTCCCACCCCACAACACCCCTGTCACTTCCCCTTCTTGCTGCCCAGGGCATACCAAGCTCACTCCTGCTTCAGAGTCGTGCCATCCTGCTCTCTTTCCTGGAACACTCTCTAAAGATCATTGTTCTTTTGCAAGTCTGATTAAAAGCCACCTCCCCATCTCCCTACCCTTTCAAGTTCCCTACACCTCACCCTGGCTAACTTTCTTCCCAGCATGTATCACTATTTGGAAGTATACAATTTATGTTCTTGTTTATTATCTTTCTAGAGATTACATACTAGAATTTAATCTCCATGAAGGCAGAGTCTTTATCTAAATTATTGCATCTCTACCACTAGAACCACATCTAACATGTAAAAGGCACTCAATAAATATTTGCTGAATGAATATATTCATATCATAATCATATAACCAATTTCCATAACTGACTACTAAATAACCCAAGAGAACAGGCATTATTGCAGTAAAGCCTTGGCAGAGAACCATAATACACTGTAATTAGTAATAACCTCTAATTAGATCCTTCAGCTACTAGAAACTTCTAGGCAACTGCTGGCAACAAACTCAGAATTTGTGTCCCAGGTTATATACCAACATCAAAATTAACAGAGCACCACATCTCTTGAAAAGTCCCCATTCAAATGGCTTCTGGTTACATCACTAGGACAATAATTCCATCTAGAAATTTTCAAAGGACCAAAAACCAATAATACATAAACCAAACTTTGGAACCAAACTATATTCAGTGTAAGAGAGAATTCTTAATATACAACTTGATATACATTATCAATATTAGCTATCTTAAAATCCGGTCTTTATCATACTTCAAAACCTAACAAGACCAAAAAAAAAAAAACAAAAACCTGGTAAGATAAACATTAGTGAAAAGCTTAGGCTTTCTGTCAAGGTTGATGGAGAAGAATAAAGTTTAAAGGGATAAATCTTTGATTTCAGAAAAGTCCATTTTGCTACAAATTTATATTCTTTTTCTCATTAATTAGGAATATCTTCTATTACACTAAAATTAAAAGACAGCAGTAATGTTGGATAATTTTTAAAGTACTTATATCTTCAATTTGTAACCTAGTGGTTTTCAAAACAAAAAACACGTTTGCTATCTAAAAATCCACCCTTGTTGTCATTCAATTGGAACACCAGTTTATTTAGATTTGTTCATCAGAACTATTTTGAAATGTAAACTAGGTTCAAGTGGCACACAGGGTGTCAAGGAGTCCAGCTGATGTTCCCAAATTACACTGTGGTTGTGTGTAAGTCATTTAATCTCTCTCTGAGTCACTCTTTCTACTTACAAAATGGAGAGACCGCTCCACTGAGTTAGTCCTGCTAGGAAAAAAGAGTTTGAAGAGCAAGCATTTCAACCCAGTGATATTTGTAGAAGAACCAAAAGACTGAGGACAAGTAAGAATAGTAAGTTGCTCATGTTCTAATATATACAACAAATGTTTAGGAAATCAAATATAAGATATTAGATACTACAAAATTCTAAAACACTTGAAACAAGACTAGGTAAGAGATTCAACTCTTAAATCCGAAATACTGACTTGAGGTACGTTTTTTTCACTGAAGAAAAATTCAGGAAGATTATTTATCAAACTTTGATGTGTAGAAAATACTTTCAAAAACCGTAGACAGTAAAGCACTAAAAAATGTTGTTTGGCTTTGTGACAAAAGAATACAAGTTTCTTTCATTCGAGTTTAAAAGAAATAATAATTATACAACACCTACCATAAGAATTTTTCTTCAATAGTTTAAAAAAAAGTCTTGGCGCATAAGACAGATAAGATGAAGCTACATTATTCCCAAATCAAATGATAATACAAGTATGAGACATGGGTAAGAATTTATAAAAATCATACGATGCACGATGCATATGTTTGAAAAGACTTTCCCATCTCAGAGGTTCAAACTTGCCCCTCCTTTTCTCCAAAACCCTGTCTCCACTCCTCCTACACAGCAGTCAAAGTGAGTATCCCTCTGTGTGTTCTTTCTTCAAAGAAATCCTCCCTGACCACCTCCTTTCCTTTTTCTTCATGGAGTATACCATATTTAAAATCATGCAGTTGTTCTTACAATTAGAGATACTCCTCAACAAAGGATGGGGTTACATTCCAATAAACCTATCATAAATTGATTATATAAAATGAAAATGCACTTACAGGGAACTCAATACTCTGTAATGGCCTATATGGCCATTAAAAAAAAAAAGTGGATATATGTATAACTGATTCACTTTGCGATACACCTGAAACTAATACAACATTGTAAATCAACTGTACTCCAATAGAACTTTTTCAATAATTTTCAAATTTTAGGGTATTATGGACATTCATTCATATTTTTTTAAATAAAATAAAATTTTTATTTTAAAATACAAAAAGAAAATGCATTCATAATACCTAACCTACAAAACACTGAAGCTTAACCTAGCTTACCTTAAACGTGCTCAGAATACCCACTGTTGGCTAAATCATCTAATCACTTAACACCTAACTTGATAATAAAGTGTTGATTATCTACTGCAGCTTACTGAATACTGTACTGAAAGTGCAGAACAGAAAGGCTATCTGGGTACAAAATAGTTGTGATGGTTGTTTACCCTCAGGGTCGTATACCTGACCAGGAGCTGTGGCTGCTGCCTGCCCAGCATCACAAGAGAGTACGTACCACCTGTCACTAGCCCAGGAAAACTAGCCAAAAGCAAAATGCAAAATGCAAAGTACACTTTCTACTGAATACATAGAACTTTTGCACCATCATCAAGTTTAAGTTGAATCATCTTAAATCAGGGACGGTCTACATTTATTTAAGGTCTATTTCCCCAAGTAGGGCTCGGCAGCAGGTCTTATTTACCACTGAAGCCCCCACACCCAGTGCCCTGCTGAGCAGAGCAGCACCCACTCTTCATTGGCTGGATGAAAAAATGAAAACCTGACATGGACAACTGACCATAAATTTCCAAAGCAAGAAACAATACGAAGAGGTAAGATTTTAAGAATCAAGAGAGGAAGGAAAAGAATACTTGATATACTTTTAATAACCACCATTAAGGACTTCTTCCCTGATGGTTCAATGGTAAAGAATCCACCTGCAACGCCAGAGACATAGAAGACGTGGGTTCAATCCCTGGGTCAGGAAGATCCCCTGGGTGAGAAAATGGCAACCCATTGCAGTATTCTTGCCTGGAGAACTCCATGGATAGAGGAACCTGGTGGGCTACAGTCCATGGGGTCGCCAAGTTGAACTCAACTGAACACACAACCACCGTTAAAATCATTAGCATTCAACTCCATGTGGGTACAAAAATCGCTCTGTGCTGTCCCTAGTGTGCTGTCTGTCCATCAGTTTGTCTTAGCACATGTGTGTCCTCTTCCGTACTTGGACTAAGGTCAAAACCTACCTGCTCTGGGAAACACTACAGATTATTTCCTAAACTTAGCAGCTGCCCATGACCTACAGCTGCGGGTCTCTGTGGCTGCCTGTGCTAAGCACAGTTAAAGGAAGACAACGCCCATAGACACAGCCCTTGTCCTCCCTCAGCGAGGGAGAAAGCAGGCAGCCTGTACAGGCATAGTTAGGAGCTGCCCTAAATCAGTGCCTCCCAGTTACCTATGGTGAAGGGCCAGCTTGTTTGTTGATTTCAAATCATATAGATGAGCTCCTTAAAAATACAATAAAAATAAATTGTAGTTCACCCCCGAACAACACGAGAGTTAGAGGCACCAACCTTCTGCACAATTGGAATTCCATGCGTAACTTTATGGTCAATCCTTTGAATTCACAGTTCCTTCACAACCATGGTTTCAACCAACAGCAGATCATGTATTGGGTCTGCAAAAAGTTCATTCGGGTTTTTCCATAAGATGGTTTAGAAAAACCCGAATGAACATTTTGGTCAACCCAAAAGTACTGTAATATGTATTTACTAAAAAAAATCCACATATAAGTGGATCTGTGCAGTTCATACTCATGTTGTTCAAGGGTCAGCTGTATTTGAAAAGTGAAATGCCACTTATAAAAAATGACAAAGTCAAATTACTGCAATTTCTCAATGCTCATTCTCAATTTCCATACCTATCCCATTATACATCCATATTCAGCAGTCCAAGGACCAGCACCATCTACAAACCACATTTTAAGTAGCAAAAAATCTAAAATCTCTAAGAAACTCCACTCACTAACCATTGCCCACACAGATCAGTGAACCTCTCCTACCGCATCTATAGGGAGAGATGCAGCAGGTTTGCTATGAAGATTAACGATTATTGTATTTTCAGTATAGAGGTTGCAGGTTTAAAAACAGAAGCCATTATTAATATGATAAATCCCTGTAGGAGGTTTTTCAGTTTACAAACCTCCTTATCTCATCCGATCCCCATAACACTTACAAGGGTTCTCAACCACCTTCATGCGGGAAGTCACAGCACAAATACAGTGAGATGTCCCACAGTGGGTAAGGAAGGATCTCCCTGGTACACACTGCCTGAGCAGGCACAGGAGGCGCGGGGCAGCCTGTATGCCCAGGTCTGCACGGGACACTCACGCTCTCTGGAACTCTGGGATGCTGAAGATGGCCTGCATCACGGAGCTGAGATAGCAGCTGTTGCCCAGGTTCTTGAGCCCTGTGTACCCTGGGCCGTACATGGGCTTCAGCTTCGTCCCCGTCTCCTGGATCACCTCCCACTCGCTGACCCGTGGCTTGATGTCATTGTCCTGGAGCCCGTTCTCTGTCTGGGGCAAGATCAGTGAAGAAACACAACTTTGACGGTGACTCTCATTTCAAGATCACATCCCACGAATTACTTCTAACAGCAGTAGATGTTTCTGCCTTTCCCCTCAATGAAACAGAGAAATAAACAACCTCATTAAAGGTGACTGAGATGGTGATGGTTGCACAAGGCAAATGGACTTTATGCCGCAGAACTGTATGCTTAAAAACTGTTAAAATAGTAAGTTTTATGTTAGGTATAGCTTTCCATAATTTAATAAATGACCACATTTAAAAGATTTAACAGTAAAAGAGACAAAGACTAAGGGGAAAGAGGATCAGAGGAGGAAGAAAAGAAACAGGAATAAAAGAAATAGAAGGCAGATACAACACAACACAGCAGACAAAAAGCAAGACAGTTGGAGAGGAAAGTGAAATAAAACCATGGGGCTCAAGGGAAGCTCAACATAGGAGGGAGGTTTAAAGAAGAGCAGAGAAAATAAATTAAAAAGTGACACAAGTGAGAGACAGGAGTGAGGAGGAGAACATGAGGAAAGGGAGATGGCCTGGGCTAAAGCAAAACGTGCACATTTAACCAGCTCCTCATAGGGGCAAATATTACAGTCACAACACCAGCCTGAAAACACAATATAAAACGAGGCATAGGGTTTCCATCAACAATAAATAATCTACTGGTTTATTCTTTCCACACCCCCTCAAGAAGCTCTCCTTCCCTTCCTGAAATTAATTAAAGTGGTGTTGGTCACAAATCATTTTAAAGGTCATCTCCCCGTACCTTCTGCCTTTAGTGAACAAAAAATGATTCAGGCAACTCTCCATCAAAGGAGACAGAAATTTTGCAAGTAAACTCCAACGAAAAATGGTACTTGATGAGGTGCCATGTTCATTATAAAATTATAAAACTCTAAGTAAACTGATAACCAAGAGAAAATGCTAATTGAGAAGTAAATGCAAACATTGAAACCTAAAACCTATAAAAGGAAGATGTATGTGATAGGAATTATATAAATAAACCAAACAGTTTCCCTGCAAGGTGGGAACAGACACAAAAGGAGACCTTTCTCACCCCATGCATATGAAGCATGTCAATTCCAAAATGTGCTAAGTGCTTGGCCAAATGAGGGTCCAAAACAGCTTCCTCTTCTTGGAAAGAATAAACATCTAGAAGGTGAAAAGAAAATAATCACTGAGACTTGCAATCAAGTTATTCAATATTCAACATGCACCCACCAAGCTCCTCCTATGCACTGGGCTTGGGATACATCAAAGAACAAACAAAAACCTCTTGTGAGTTTTCAACTAAGGGAAAGACAGATGATAAACAATACACATAATCAATGGGTATTTTTGTAAATATATCTATATATCAATTCTTTTGACAGTTCAGAAAGTAATTTTATAAAGGATTTCTGAAACAAGAGGACAGTGTCTAAAGCTAAAATAATTTAAAACTAGACAAATACAAATGCATAACACTGACTGTTATAACCCCAGTGGCACGGTTATAAGTTCAGGAGGAGGGAAGCGGGAGGGAGGAAACGGTAACACTGCCTGCCGCCCGCAGGGGGAACCAGTGAAGAACAGAGAAAACACAGGACCTCGGGCTGTCGGAATGGCTGGACTGTGGTGTGAGGTCCAGGACAAACCAAATTCTGCCCATGGAACCCTCCACAGTCTCGGAGCTACCACCACATGACTTTCCACCTCCATCTGCCCCCTCATCCCCTCCTCCCCAGTGTCCACACCTCAGAGAGCTGGTGAGGGGTCTCTGAAGGCTGCAGTGCACCCCAAACGTGCCCACTCCTTAGCGCGTGGAAGACGATGATGCGCCTGGTACAGTGGGGTAACTCAGGAAGCTGCACCCAGCCCAGGACCTGAGAGATCAGCATGTTGACAGCCTTGTCTGTAACCCACGCATGGGGCTCTGGTGCTGGGAAGCTGTGTGCTGATGGGGACCTCTTCTCTCCTCAGGACCCTCATCTCCCACCTGACCACATAAGGCTTCAGCCTGAACCCAACTTCTCCAAGTGTGGGGTATGACTTCAAAGCAGAAGCAATGCCTGAAAGCTCATCAGAAACGCAGAATCTCGGGCTCCAGCCAGACATACTGAACGAGAATCTGCATTTTCACGAGATCCCCACGCACACAGTAGAGTTTGAGAAGCACTGTGTAGCGCTTTCAAAAGCTACCCAAACCACCACCTTATCTGTCCTCACATGGCAGGGCAACAGGGAAGAGGGGAACGTTTTCAGGCCCATTTTGCACATGAGGAAACGAGACTTATAAAAGTTACATCATTTGTCTTAAACCCCACATGTGACCCAAACCCAGGTAGTCTGACTCCTGGCCCAGTCCTTTCTACTTAGATCTCTTAGGAGACCTAGACTCAGTGAGGCACCACTCGAGGCCCTTAACAGGAATGGAGAGTCAAAAAACACAATTCTGGGACTTCACAGGTGGTCCAGTGGTTAAGACTCTGCACTTCCAACGCAAGGGGCACAGGTTCAATACCTGGCTGAGGAACTAGGATCCCACATGGTTTAGCCAAAAAACAAAAACAAAATAAAAAACAAACAAAAAAACCACAATTTCTTCACTCTAAAATTGGACAAACAAAATGTGAAAATAGATATAAAGATATTCTTTACAGCAGCAAAAGATAAAATTGTTCAAGGAGTTTCCTGCTCTCTGAAACAATACCAGGAGAAAAAAATGTGATATATAGGAACTACAGTGACACTCTGACCCAAACCCAGAAACGTGGAGACTCACTGCCACCCAAAAAAAGTCAAGTCTTTTTATTATTAACTAACTAAACATTGTATAGCTTTCTCTTCTATCCCTCTTCCCCTAGGCACCCATTTCAACTTGGAAATGGATAGAAGTCTTCATCTATATTCTTTTCCAAATACAATTCAGTGCACTCAAAAGTAAAAACAAAAGATAAAATCCCCAGGCAAATTAAGAAAAAACTTCCCAAATGTTTAAATATTAACAAAATTCCTTGAAATAATAACTCGAAACAACTGTATCAACTGTATTTTCAATCTACAACACGTGACAGTAAAGTACCACTCAAATACTGGATAGAAGGTAGAAATGACACTTCTCATGCACTTTAAATTTGGTTATTAATTAAACTAGTGAGAATTTCTAGTTGAACAAAGAATGTTCAAACTACTGCAAAACTGCTCTCATCTCACATGCTAGCAAAGTAATGCTCAAAATTCTCCAAGCTAGGCTTCAACAGTAGGTGAACTGAGAATTTCCAGATGTTCAAGCTGGATTTACATAAGGCAGAGGAATCAGAGATCAAATTTCCAACATCCTTTGGACCACAGAAAAGCAAAAGAGTTCCAGAAAAACACCTATTTCTGCTTCATTGACTATTCCAAAGCCTTTGACTGTGTGGATCACAACAAACCGTGAAAAATTCTTAAAGAGATGGGAATACCAGACCACCTGACCTGCCTCCTAAGGCTTCCCTGATAGCTCAATTGGTAAAGAATCCGCCTGCAATGCAGGAGACCCTGGTTCAATTCTTGGGTCGGGAAGATCCACTGGAGAAGGGATAGGCTACCCACGTGGTTCAGCTGGTAAAGAATCTGTCTGCAGTGAGGGAGACCTGGGTTCGATCCCTGGGTTGGGAAGATCCCCTGGAGAAGGGAAAGGTTACCCACTCCAGTATTCTGGCCTGGAAAATTCCATAGACTGCATAGTGCATGAGGTCACAAAGAGCTGGACACGACTGAGCGGCTTTCACTCTCACCTTACCTGCTTCCTGAGAAACCTGTGTGCAGGTCAGGAAGCAACAGTTAGAACTGGACATGGAACAACAGACTGGTTCCAAATTGGGAAAGGAGTATGTCAAGGCTGTATATTGTCACCCTGCTTATTTAACTTATATGCAGAGTACATCAGGCGAAATACTGGGCTGGATGAAGCACAAACTGGAATCAAGATTGCTGGGAGAAATATCAATAACCTCAGATATGCAGATGACACCACCCTTATGGCAGAAAGCAAAGAGGAACTAAAGAGGCTCTTGATGAAAGTGAAAGAGAAGAGTGAAAAAGCTGGCTTGAAACTCAACATTCAAAAAATGAAGATCATGGCATCTGGTCCCAACATTTCGCGGCAAACAGATGGGGAAACAATGGAAACAATGACAGACTTTATTTTCTTGAGCTTCAAAATCACTGCAGATGGTGACTGCAGCCAAGAAATTAAACAACGCTTGCTCCTTGGAAGAAAAGTTATGGCAAACCTAGACAGCATATTAAAAACAGAGATATTACTTTGCCAACAACGGTTCCTATAGTCAAAGCTATGATTTTTATAGTAATCATGTACGGATGTGAGAGTTGGACCATAAAGAAAGCTGAGCACTGAAGAATATCAATTGTTTTGAACTGTGTTGTTGGAGAAGACTCTCGAGAGCCCTTTGGACTTGCAAGGAGATCCAACCAGTCCATCCTAAAGGAAATCAGTCCTGAATATTCATTGGAAGGACTGATGGTGAAGCTCCAATACTTTGGTCACCTGATGCAAAGAGCTGACTCATTAGAAAAGACCCTGATGCTGGGAAAGACTGAAGGCAGGAGGAAAAAATGACGACAGAGGACAAGATGGTTTGATGGCATCACCAACTCAAGGGACATGAGGTTGAGCAAGCTCTGGGAGATGGTGAAGGATAGGTAAGCCCGACGTACTGTAGTCCATGGGGTTGCAAAGAGTCAGACGCGAATGAGCGACTGAACAAGTGAGATAGTTTTAAAGACTTAAAGACTTTAAGCCTCTACTTATCAGGGCCCTAAGAGAAAATTATAAGATTGATAGAAATGTACCATTGGCACTGGTCTAGGATTTTGAAATAAGTGAAAATCACATAAAATTCTATGGTTCTTAAGCTATTAGCCTCCTGCCTGTGTGAGAAATTAACATGCTATCTCTAGTCATTAACTACCCCCAAAATATGACATGATTTAGTCAGACACCACAGTTACTTCTTTCCCCAATGACAAAAACAGTTCAGTGAGTAACACATAAGAAATCTAAAAATGAACTGTGATCCTTAAACTTAGCAATCATGAAGAATTTATAAGTGACACGTAGTCATAGAAAAAATATTTGAAGTAGAGTTGGGGACTGAAAATCCTTACACATTTTTCAATAGAAATTTACTTCATCTCCATCTTCAGCTTAGCAAACTCAAGTCTTAACTCAGAAACTACTGCAGCAAATAAGCATGGCCTGACAAGTATTACTCTCCCCAACTCCAACCTTGACTTAAAAACTAGAAGCTAAGAAATAGGAAGTTCACAGAAAGATCCTCCTAGGAATAGCCTTAGCAGAGTTTCATGAGTAACTACACTTACTTTAGAAGTAAACCAGTCATTGTTTCAAGCTAAATGACAAATGAAGCCATGGAGAGCGCAGAGACATCCATAGAAGGGAAAAGATTTAAGAAAAGATTTACTGAATAAAAATGACAGAAAGAAGATCTCTGGCTGCCTAGGAATAAAAAATTTTACTAAGAAAGATCTCAAAGGAATTTTGTGAGGATATGGAAATGTTCACTGTCTTTATAGTGAAGGTAATAATTAGGGAGCTATATATTTTAAAAATTCATTACCTAAAATTTTAAAAGGTTCCACTTATTATATGTAACTTTTACTTCAATCTGCAACCCAGCCTTGACCCATATGAGTCACTGAATGAAGGTAATATTTAAAGGAAAAAAAAAATTTCCAGCATGAATTGATGTGATAAGCACATTAGAAAATAGTATGTGCATTCAAGAAACTATAATCAATATCGAGTGATAAACCATAATGGAAAAGAATAAGTATATGTGTGTATATATATATATATATATATATATATATATATATATACGTACAACTGAATCAAAAATTCTGCTATACAGCAGAAATTAACACAACATTGTAAATCAACTATACTTCAATAAAATTTTTTTAAAAACTAAAAAATAAAGTAGTATGTGTATTAAGTTTCAAAACTAATGAAGGAAATCTTATAAAACTTATAAAGATGGAGGCTAAGACTGAGACCAAGACTGAGAATCTATAAGGAATTATATAAAAGTGGTAATAATTTCTTATCTCCAATGAGGTTTCTTTCTTTTGTTTTTTGTTTT